TAATATAAATTAATATTAATAAAGAAGACTCGAAATATAGAATATATTAATAAATATTAAACAAACGTTTAATTTTAACTAAAAGTGACCTATAACCGTGTATAAAATATATAAAAAATATTATTAAAAAAATTAGTTCGTGAAACAAATTTGAAATTCAAAAATTAAATAAATAAATATGTATGTGAAAATTTTAAATTATAATATGATTTAAATATTATTAATAAAAAATATTATATTACTAAAAATATTTTAATTTAAATATAATATTTTTATTATAAGAATTAATTTATGTCTTTATTTAAAAAAAAATTTTGTTATTATATAATACAAAGTATATTTTATGTAAAAAATAAATAAATAACTACAATTGAAATGAAAAATATTTTTATTTAAATAAAATATTTTTAATATAAAATTTAAATTTTATTTTAATTTTAAACAAATATTTTTATTATATAATATAAAGTATATTTTATATAACAAATAAAAAAATAAATATATACAATTGAAATGAAAAATATTCTAATTTAATAAAATATTTTTATTATATAATTTAAATTGCAAATTAATTTAAAATAAATGTTATTATTGTATAATTTAAATTATATTATATTTAAACTCACCTAATTTTATGTTTAACAGAAATAAATATTTCTCTTCTCAAAAGTTTGCTTAAATATTATAATAAGACTTTTATAAATATTATATTGAATTTATTTAAAATTTTATTTCAAGTTTCGTTGTACTTTTAGTTTTGTACTTTCACTTTCGAACATTTAAGTTAAAATACTTGAAACACACTTTTTATCCACAAGCACTTAATACAGTAATTATACGTCTATTTAATTTTAAAACAATCGATAAAATAGTGAGTCGAATTAAATAATTTTTTATTAAAATAAAATATTTATAAAATTGTCACTAATTGAAAATTTAATTTTAAATGATTTTGTTTTTAGTTGTAATTTATATATTTTTTGAATTTAATTTGGTTTAAGTTTTCCCGCAAAATGCACCTTTTCCCACGACGGCAGGATAATGAATGATAGCAAATAGTAGAAACGTTAATGAAATAAGCCAACATATGTTGTCGTCAACTTACACTGAACCGAAACGCTTGCTTGAAAAAGCTCCACTGCCTTTGCAGATTTGTTTTGGTCTGCAAACGCGCTGCAGAAAAGCTCTCATCACTTTCTTATCAGTGGGCGATGTTTTTGCTGATACACAATCGCTCAAACATAGCCAGCGTGTTTACATTTTTTGATGTTACTTTGCATGCAGAACGGCGTATCAACAGTTTCGCTTACCTTGTCGGTCCTGCCCTTGAGTAAGGCATTCGTCAGTGCGCCTTTCTCCGTTCAATGGACTTCAACCTGTTGATTTGCAAATTGAGTTTAGCGCTTTTGTGTAAAAACTTAATGTACTTTTTTTTTATAATTTTTTTTACCCGTTCAAATCCTTTGTTTCGTAAAAAAATAATTTTTGCTTTGATTTGCGGCATATGTTGGTGCCAATCGGCATTACTCTGCGCCGCTCGCACCATGAGGTATATAGTCTTGAGAGCAGCTGTCGATTTGGATGCGCGTCTACAAAATTTAATTATTATTTTACCTTGTCAATTTAATGTCAGGTTTCTTTTTTACAATGTTGTGAAGGATGTAGATGGATGTAACTGTGGTCGGTAAACAGGATGTGGTTGTTTGCACTTTGGCGTTTAAAATGTAGGACACACTTCAAACGATTTATATTTTAATAGGCGTTCAATGGTTTTGCAAAGTTCTGCACTGCACTGGACGGAATAAAATGCTTCATAAATAATTGAGTGATAAAGTAAAATACCGAGTATAAAAATTAACAACTTTTTTTAAAAATAAAAAATAAAATTGTATAAAAAATAAAAAAACAAAATTATATTTAAAATAGAAATTAAAATTTTAATAAAATTTATATTGTTTTAAAAAAATATTCGAAGTGTGGTTTTTCGAACAGTAGTGAAACTACAACAACAAAAATTCATTTTATATTATTTTAATTAATTGACTTTTTGGCTGACCATACAGCTGGTTCGAGTATTGCCAAATACCCATCAACAGTGGTGTTAGAAATATTTCGTATATTTAATTTAATAATTTTTTGAAACCGCAAATATCAATCGTTGAAGTCGTACTCTGCCAAATTTGAAGCTCAGAGTCAGCGTACCTTAACAAACTGACCAAAGGCTGTACTTGACTTTTATGTTCGCACATTTTTCTGGAGTTTTGTTACTTTGCTATGAAAGTTTTTTATAAATTACATTTTACAAATAGCATTTAAAAACCGATTTAAATCTTTTCTCTCCTAAACTATTAATAATTGTATTATATATATGGTTTAAAAAATTCCAATTCAAGTTTTTCATAATTTAAATCATATTATAAAAAAAAATTAAATTTTAATACAATTTGTACTTTTTAAAAATAAAATAAATAAAAAAAACATAATAAAATGAAAATTTTTTACACGGGTGGAAGCTAAACTACTATTTATTGTGTTATTATATATATGGTTGGAAACCTTATCAAGTTTCCCATAATTTTAATTATATTAAAAAAATTTAAATTTTAATACAATTTTTATTATTTTAAAAAAAAATAAATTCGTAAGAAGTATAAAGTATAATAAAGGATCAAAAACTGACTTATAATATAACTCTGAACACTCTGAAATCATCAATACAAAGAAAATTAAGCATAAAAAATAAAACTCTACTTTATAAGCAAGTAATTAGAGACAAACTACTTTTTGGGTTTTTATATCTAATGGTAATGCTGACTTATCTACCATCAGAATATTGTATTGAGACGTATGCTTAAAGCTCTATGATATTTCACAAAGACCTATACACAAGGACCTAAGCGGCAATAGTACATCGTGGACAGAGCGCTAAAATTGTTTGATTCTATAGATGCACTAACTAATTCAAAGTTGTAACAAATGCAATATATATTTCATCAGAGGGATATATTCAAGCTATAACTGTATAAAATCACCTTAATAATCCATTATCGTATTTGAATGGAACACTTGTTATAGTGGATCACCCAAAGGATTACAGACGCAATTGATTAAAAAAACATCAGACAATACCTCGCTAATGAACTAAAGAAGAACAAATAACATGTTAAATGAACCTATAATCCGAGTACAAGGGTCCTCCATGTATCTCTTATAATTTTCAAAATATATAAAAAAATGTAAGTTTTATTGTATTATTTTTACTAATTTAAAATATATTGAATTTCAATCCGCTACTTTTCATTTTGGGACACACTACACCGGCATTTTGGGACACACTACATAATTGTCACCATAGGTTTTTAACGCTTTCAGAAAAATATATATTAAAGTAATATATAGAGTAATATATAATAATACAGTATTGTAGTAATATATAATACAGTATTATTGAGCACCATTTAATGCCCTGATCTAAAACATCCTAAGCTACTGTCATTAATATAAAATATTATATATGAAATAGTCTTTCTCAAGCAGAAATGTTTTTGACTTCATTATACGGATATATGATTAAATTCAAGCAATTTTTACCAAAGATATTAATTATATATACGGGTTATTATATTATACGAAGACATAGGGGTTAGAGAATTGAATATTATACCTAATGACGTCATAAACGTTTCTTATTTCGTAAAAGATCAGCGGTTATTTAATGGAAACCAATATATGGTACATAAAAAACTCCTTCGGAAGAAACTTCTACAAGACTATAGGGTAATGATATAAGAAAAATTAAGAAAACAATTTCGCAAACATTTAAGAAAAATAAGGTTTTCAGCAAAAAAAAAAGAATGGAGAAATAATCCAATATAGGGTTATGTGTAGGAGCACTAAATAGGGTTTTAAAATTCCCATACTCAAGTAGGCAAGAAAACACATTAAATAGCGTATTAAAGTACGTTAAAGCAACTATACTATTAATAGGTACAGAAATTGTCTTCTTTGGATAATTAATTTCAGAGATATGTAGTTTATATGACTGCATTCTCTTTTCTAAGCTTTTTTTTAATACTTATTGCTCTGTTAATACAGAAAATACAACCTTCCACACTTCTTATACGGTTTTCTTTGTTTCTCTAATCAAGGAATGAATCATCTACTACTTTTTTGTTGTTTGAACTAAATACACCCTTATTAAATGCAAAATATAATATTGGCATTAACCGAATATCATCGTTAATGTCCAAAAAATACCTAAAAAATCAAATAAATTTTTTTAACAAATTATATAAAATATTATAAATAAAACCATTAAAACAAATTCTTAATTTTTTCTTTCTAGTAATAATTTATTAATTTTTAATTTATTTGTTTTTAACATCATATATCATAAAGTAACTATTTTAAAATAAATATTAATCTTAAGGCACTTTAGATTAATTTTTATAAATATTAAATAATATTTATAAAATATTAAAATAAATAATTAATAATAAATATAATTTTTAAATTAAAGTAATTAAAGAAAATTTAAAATTGCTGATAGAAATTTATATTTTATTTTGTAGAAAAAATGGTTGTAACAAAACAATTTTCTTTAAAAATTAAAAAAAAACTTAACATAATTAAATTCTTACATAAATATTAATTCGAGAAAAATTCGATTGTTTAATAGCTGAAAATGTACGGTAATAAAACAAATATAATATAAAAATACTGGGATGCACAAGAGCATAACATTATTTTTGTACAGTATATATATTTATATGAATAATTACAAATACGATTAACGACTACACTTACAATTATTTCAAACACACTTACACTAAGTTTAAAATTACAGTCCATACATAAAACTAAGCTTAGAATTACAAATTAATTTTTTATAAATAAATTTTATTCATTTATACACTATAAACATACTATAAATATGGCTCATCAATATGGCTTATATATGACTTGAGCAATTTGTTAATACCAATTCCTTTTTTTTTTGTTTTTTTTTTTAATTAGAATATTAAGTTTACAGTCTTTGCCAGCCACATTGTAGGTTGTTATTAGTGGTATTCCTGGTACCATTTGTTACTGGAAATTCATTAAAATTTGTTGGCATAGTGGCAAAGTTATTATTTTGTGTAATTTGTTGTTGTTGATGTTGTTGTTGATGTTGATGATGCGGTTGAGTATTTTGTAAATGTACAGGTGATGTTGGTGAGGTTGAACTTACGGCAGCACAGGATATAGTTGGCGGTTGGGTACGTCTAAAAATATATAAATGTATTAATAATTTTCAAAGAAACATAAATCTGAAAAATGCTACGCAAAATAGGAATTATTACCATATTTTTTTCAGTGCAGTTTTTTTGAGTATTTCCAAAAATTCTTAATATGCAGTTAACATTATACTTTAAAAAAAATTTTTTTTTTTAATTTATATTGCAAATTAAAAAGGTTTAATTAAACAATTCATATTGAAATAAATACATTAATACTATAAAGTGAAAAATAAAAATTATAATAATAATAGTAAATAAAACTGAAAGCAAACTAAAATAATAAACTGTATCTGATTTAATAATTTAATGGCACAATATGTAGTTTTAAACATTTTAATAAATATACAATCAATACAAGACTCTGATTATTAATTTAGCTGATTGAAAATTTAATTTTTTTTATAAAATAATAAAATTTTATAGTTTGTTTTTATTTTATACAAAATTTGGACAGCAATTTATTTGTTAATATTGAATTATAATTTCAAATAATATAGAAAAATTGGTTTCAGCAAACTATAATGTATAATCAAAAATATATAAAAAAAATTGGAATAGTTAAGTTAATTTATATAGCTGTGATTTATGTGCTTGTCAAATTTAAAACATAGACTCTTATGTTAACCCATTGAATTAAGACCATATTAGATTAAAAATTATATACGAAATATTAATATAAATAAATTTGATATTTAAAGTCAATTATGACGAAAGAAGCTATTTTCTTAATATAAATTATTTTTTAATAAAAATGTTAACTGTAGTGAATTGCAACAACAAAATTTTTATTAATAATTAATTCTGTTTGGGCTATACAGTTACAAAATGCCCCGTCACTGTTTTTTTTTGTAGAAATATATATAGAGAATTATATTTAATAATTGATAAATAATTTGAACTTGTACCCTGTCAAATTTAAAGCTCAAAGTCATTGTCAATTAACCAACTGATCCAAAAAGTTGTATTAAAATTAAAAGTTAAATTATTAAACCTAATTAATTTGATTATTTTGTTATTCATAAATTTATAATTTTCATCTATAATGTAATATAACACAGCAAGTGATTTTATTTTTGAACTTTCACAGCAAATTCACAAAATTCCACGGTTTTCTTTTTAGGTCAGTTGACTAATTAACACTAACTCTGAGCCTCAAATTTAAAACTAATAAATATTTTCAAAACCCACTAATGAGATATTTGACAATCACAAAAAAAAATTACCGGATTAAAAATTAATTTTTGTATTGCATTTTTTTACTATTACACCCCCTTTTGAAATTTTTTACTCTAATAAATTAATGCCAGCGCAGAAGTAAATTTACATTGAAAGAAGCAACATTACATAAATGTGCAGTTCTAACTGCTACAGTATTTTTATTCTAATATAATATATATATATATTGTGTATTAATTGTATATCTTAAAGTGCGACTGTGTTTGTGTTTAGGTTTTATAGTGCTTTATATTATATAAAATATTTTACTAACTGTTTCCAAAATAATGTAATTATTTTTTCGTTTTTTTCTCTAATCTATTAACTTTAACTTTTAGATTTACAGTCACAGTTGGTTTTTTGCTAATAATATATAAAATAATGACAGTATTAAAATCAAATTTAGATATGTATATATAAATAAATACTAAATATAAATATTGTATTCAAATATTGTATATAAATGGTATACAATACACAAATGAAATTAATATAATAAAATAAATTAAATTAAATAAAACAAATTCAATAATTAAATAAATAAAATAATAAAATAAATAAAATAATATAAAATAAAATAAATAAAATAAACGAAATAAACAAAATAAGTAAAGTAGCAAAATAAATGAAATAAATAAAATAAATGAAATAAATAAAATACAATAATAAAACAAAAAATATTAATAAAATTAATAAAATAAATAAAAAAAATAAATAAAGCAAAATAAAATAAATAAAACAATTAAAATAAATAAAACAAATAAAATAAATAAAAAAATTGAAATAAATAAAATAAAATAAATAAAACAAAAAAAATAAAATAAAATAAAATATATTAAATAAAGTAAACAGAACTTTTTGAGGACAGGTATTTTTATTAAAGCCATTTGTTGGCTTCGCTGCGCAGTAATCCCCAAATTGCTGATATAGTGCCGGCAAGCATTTACCGATAATAAAGATTCTCGTAAACGTAGAACATAGAAATCACACATAATGATTCTACATACATCCTGAACGATACCCCGCCGGACAATCTAAAACACTAATTTAACATAATTTTACACCGTGCGTTTAATCAAAAAGCGACTATTTTTAATAAAATATTTAATATCTACACAAGTTTTTGTTATTCTTATTTTTAAAAAAGTTCTATTTACTTCGGAATACATCTGATATATAAATGTTAAATATCAATGTAATATTATAGTGTTAAATATATGAATGTAATATTAAATGTAATATATAATGTTAAATATAAATGTAATATTATATTGGGAAATATAAATGTAATATTAAAATGTTAAATACTGATATGATATGAAATAAAAAATTATTAGTTAAAAGAAATTATTTGTTTGTTATTCAAACAATCAAATCATATATTAAGAAAGAAAATAAAGACATAAAAGATTGATAAACTGAGTATATATATAATAAGTGATGTATAGAGAAATACTTATTTTTTTTAATGTTATAAAAATTTTTTTAAATAAATAAAGGTATAAAAACGAAATAAAACACAATTAAACTATGTTAATCATATTTATAAGAACTGTATTCATATTTTATTTCTTCAAAATGTTTTTACAGTTCTCGACTTCGATACTTAAAATAATTATTAAATTTTATAAATATTATAAAATACTATTCACTCAATACATTAAATACCCCATATTAATATAATATAAATTTTAATTAAAATAAAAATCTTACTTTTGTTGTGTAATGGTAAATACTGATTTTGACACAATACGTTTCCCTGATTTCCAAACACGTCCAATATATTTCATGCGTTGTATGGCAATTATAGCTAATGCAACAGTCCTATTTCAATAAAACCATAAATGTAATTATATTCATTATATATTTATAAGAAAAAAAGACTTACTTAAATAGCTTCTCTTTGTTTGGTTTCTTTTGTGTTGCTACACTTCGTCCAGAGTACGCTAGAGTACGTTCTTCCAACGCCTGATAGCTTTGTAACGAAACCTTCAGATAACGCTTTTGATATACAAGCGCTTTTCGATGTGACTCGACACGTAAGTAACGAGCTAGCAAATAATTACAGCGTTCCTCAAGTTCACTTACATTAGCTTGTCCACCGATTTGAGCCTCTAGTTCTTCACATTTCTTTTGTAATTGTCGTCGTTCTTCCACCATAAATTGTACTGTCTCAGCCATTTGACGATTCTCCTGCGTATTTTCTGCTAGCAACATATTTATTTCTTTCATTTTCAGTAAAAATTGTTGTGGCACTGTGTCGTCTCCAGCTATATTAGCTAATTTGCTATTAGCATTTGCTAAAGATTCTGCAAGTTTTGCTTCCCGCTGCGCAGAACGCTCAATATCGTAACGCAACTGTGAGACATGTTTGGTTAAACTTTCACGTTCCTGCACTACTGTTTCCAGACGTAATTTTAATTCTTGTATTTCAGCAAGAAGTTGTGCATTTTCCTTTTGTTGACGTTCACGACGTGTGGTGCGACGTGTTTCTGTTTCTTGCATCGTAGCCAGACGAGATTCAAGACTCTCAATCTCTTGTGTTTGTAAAGTTAAGCGTTCTTGTAGATGTTCGCACTCTAATTCAGCGCTGTCCTTATCTCGTAGCAAAGTTTCCATTTCTTTTTTCAACTTATCGCTATATTCAACGCGTTCCTTTAGTTCTGATTCGTAACGCTGACGTTCTCTTTCTCCACTACGCTGTAAATCTGCATACCGCTCACGTTCGCGTTCATTTTGTGCTGTCATCAATTTAATTTCTCTACGCAAACGTTCTGCTAATTCAGTTTCATAGTCAGAAAGTGAACGTGGCGATTTACGTGGCGAATCATTTGGAGATTTAAGTAGCAGCGATGAATTTCTGCGGCTTTCAGCACGTTGCAGTGCTGTCAACTGAGTCTGTAGACGATCACAACGTTCCCTTTCATTATCAAGTTGTTTATTTAGATCATCTTCTTGATCCAAAGCAGTCTCTAAACGCTTTCGCATTGCCTCAATAATCACCACATCTTGTTCTTGAATTTCTTGTGAATGCTGCTTTTCAAGCAACAGTTCTCTGCGTATAATTTCATTTTGTTCACGTTCAACTGCTACTTGTACTTTTAACGCTTCTAATTGATTTAATAACTCACGTTCGCCAGTGAAGTTTTCATCATCAGTACCTTGGGATTCATGTTTTAATTGACTTTCCTTATTTAAATGCTTGGAATCTAAATTGTTCTCTTCTTCACTTTCAATAGCTTTTAAAATACTTGAATCCAGCTGTGCAGAGTAGTTCAGTTCTTTTTCGACTTGCTGTGCGATTTCATCAACTGAATATTGCTTAGAACTATTTTCACTGTTTTGTTGTTGTCGCAGTTTTTCCACTTCTCGTTCCAAACTGTCAATCTGTCGTTGTAGACCAGTGATATTATCTTCGGATATTGAAAGTTTTGTAGTTAAGAGTAGCAAACGTTCATCTTTCGCTTTAATTTCTTTATTAAGATTCTCAATTTCTTGTTTACGAGATTCAAGATCCTGCACTGTGTTCTGGTGTACCGAATTTATTGATTCGAATTCCTTGCGCAAGTTTTCACGTTTATTCACTTCAGTTTCTATAGTGGTCAGAACTTTTAATTCCAGTTCTTTAATACGTGCATTAGAGCGCTCCTCTAATTCTACGGAATATTTAGTCTTTTCTTCTTGATCCTTTAGTAACTCTGTTTTTATTTTGTTATCTTTTATTAGTTCTATATATTTTTGTTCAAGTTCAGTTTGTTTTTGCTCGAGTTGTGCAATTGCTATTAATTTTGCTGAAATTTCTTGTTGTAATTCAGTGCACTTCTTATTATCTGACTGCAGTTCTATAAATTCTTTTTCTTTATTTTGCAATTCACCTTGCACTTTCTCTAATTGCTCCTGTGTTGTTATTAAACTCTTTTTCAACATTTCTAATTCGCTGTCTTTAGCTACACGAAGTACATCCTTTTCATGTTTTAAATCAGTTAATTTTGTTTTAAGTTCACTGATTTCAGTTTTCATTTTCTCAATATTTTGCCTTTCTAAGTTCATATCAGGAGTCTTAAGTTTAGAATCTTCTGTCAAAGCTGAGAAATTTATTTGACGTGGTACCATTGGTGGTGTCATAGTAGCACCAGATTTTTGTGAAGCTTGTAATAAATGTGGATCCTGGAAATAATGTGGATGTTGAAATGTATTAGCAGGATGTAATGTTGCGAAACCGGAGAGATCCTCTGTACGTTTATGTGTTAAATTTGCAACAGCTTCCTTTGAAGTTTCCTATATTAATTTAAAAATAATATACAATTATTTATATGTACCATATAATTCATTTTATACTCTTACCATAGTTTGATGGAAGAAACCACCATGTTCTTCTGGAACTAATAACGGTGAGTCTATGTTATTTAAAGCAGCTCTACGTGCAACATCAGGTTCATCGAACTCAGTTATAGAAACAATATCACTAAGTGTACGTGCACTTAACTTATTGCTTGCATCTTCTCTTCCGGCACTTTTAGGCACTACACCACCAAGTGAGGAAGCCTGACTAAAATCTAATGCCGCTTGTAGTTCTTTTTCCTTAGATTCAAGTTGCTCTTTAAGATGATCGATTTCTTCATTTTTATCGGCTAGCATTGTTTCCATTAAATCTGGAACCGCTAATTTATTGATCATATCATTCTTAATTTTTGCTTTTAATTTCTGTATTTCATTATTCTTTTGTTTAATGTCTTTTTCCAAATCATCAATTAAACTACGATCAGGTTGCTTCTTATTGATTATTTCCGCTTCCAATTGTTCAATGATCTTCTTACTCTTCTCTATGTTTTGCTTATTAATCTCGATCTCTTTGTCACGAGAGGATAAGGTTTCTTGCAATGATTGCACATTTGTTTGTAGATCATGAATACGTAATTTAAGATCAGACGTGCTCGCATATTGCAGTTCTTCTGCACGTTTGCGTTGTTCTTCAAGACGGGTCTGTAGCACTGATATGCGCTGCGATTGCTCTGACATGCGTTCTTGGAGTGAATCACGCTCATGCTGAAGTTCCTAAATAAAATTGAAAGTAGAAAAATTTAATTAATTTTTATTTAATTATTAACTCGACTATCGAGAAAAGAATCATAAAAAACATATTATTTTTGGCATTTTATAAATTTTGATAAGCAATATGAATGCTCTGCATATAAACAATAGTGACTCTTGACTCACTGAACCAATGTAAAATTTTATTAAATTAAATTGAAGCAATGAGAAGTGTTTATTATGACATTTAACACTTTAAAATTTAATGTCCCATTTGACTTGTAGAGGAATTATTGCTGTTGAACATTTTAAATTTTTTAAATTTTTTTTTTTTTGCTACTTTAATGCAATTTGCATATTTGCGGTTTTTATTACTGGGTTGGACTGTTTTCACTCGATTCTTCACATTCACATGAAGTCAATCTTTTCAAATTTTCAAGTGGCAATTTACATTTTAATTGATAAAATGAAGTAGAAAATGTCGATTATAATGAGTTTGTTTATTGCATGAGCTTATGCAAATGTATTTTATATGCAGAGTAAAGATGCATTATAAAAATGAGAGTGGAGGTCAATAGCTTGTAGAAATTAAAAAAAAATCAATGGGAAATGTATTCAATTCGAAATTGTTGAAATTAATATTGCCTACTGGAAGAAAAATATTATTAACAAAAACAAAAATGATTAAGAAGTGTATTGATTCAGTCTATGTTTAATTGAGTAATGAAAAAGCTTATAAATTATTTGCGCAGAAATCATTATTAGAGCTGCAAATTCATGAATGGACCTCGAAATGTTCTATGGGATATGTAGTCATACTATAATCTTAGACAATTTATTTATAGATTTTCCACGCCACACGAAAATTTTGAAATTTTCCCAATTTTATACACATATTAAGTAAGAGTGTCATTATACTTAATTACCCTGCAAAAGATTCTCTCAAATAGAGCCCCATCCCTTGTGATGTATCTTAGTCAGAACGCTATATAAAGGCCTATGTACCTAAAAATGAAGCAACTACCATGAGTTGCTCCCCTACGGCAAAACTCTTAACTCGAAACTGTACTGTCTAACTTAGTATTGGACTGTCTGAAGGAAGCATTCGCCCAGGAACGCCCAACTTTGCGTAATAGGAGAGGACTTGTGCTCCATCAGAACAACGCCAGGCCACACACATGACTAGCCAAAAGATCCAGGAGCTTGATTAGAAAGTTCTTATGCATCCACTTTAGAGTATCCGGCAGCATCTGTTCCTGTTCATAGCGAATGATTTTTCTGGTGAAAAATTCGCTTTAAGAGAGGATTGTAAAAATCAACTGTCCCAATTTTTTGCCAATATAGATTTTTATGAGACGGGTATAATGAAATTATCTTCAAATTGACAACAACTTATCAAACGAAATGGCGCTTATTTGACCTAAATCGGAACATTCTAATTATTGTAAATAAGCCTTTATATTCGAACAAAACTGATGGATTTCTTTTTACTACACCTATTAATAATATCGCTTCAATATACACCTTTTCTTATAAATATGTCTTCCCAACATGTTTGTATATAATACTTCTCAAGTATTATAAAAGTAGATGCTTTATTTTTCAGGAATATAACTCATTCGTTTTCACAACCCAGCTTTTATCATCTTTCCTTCTTCTAAATGGTTTCCGCTTCCATTACTTTAATAGGGCTTAAAATAGACGTTAACTTACATTTCTCTTTATAACCGTTACTTAAGAGATTTCGACCATAGAGTCTACTCTTGGCTTTTAGTTAACTTAACCCTTATCTTACACATTTACCGTGATTTTAGGCCTTATTTTTATTTAGCATATAGGATCCGACAACGCCAATGTAGAATGTTACCTTCGAGTGGTGTACGTTCGAGTATAACTTTGTTGTGAAAGGAGCCTTGTAGTTGGAGGCATTTTTTTCCCCATAAGCGACTACACAAGGTATCTCCGGATGGCAAAACAATGAACGAACTTGAACAATGAATCAACATGTAGAACATCGTTGTTGGACGTCTAAGCGAAACGAGGGGCCGATATAGACAGTGATCACCATCTAGTTGTCTGTAATATTCGCATTAAAATCGCAGCAGTCAGGACTTAACTCGAAAAAACACCAGGCAAATTTGGCACAGGAAAGCTATGTTCGGCTCAGAACCAGAAAGATTACGTAGAAGCAGGCAAAAATCGAATTGAAACAGATATCTTTCGATGAGATAACAAAAGGAATAACAAATGCATAAAATGAGATGAGCGCACAGTTACTAGGATTTGAAAAACCTAAAAACAAATCATGGATGTCGCAGGAGATATAGGGATTAATAGAGTAATACAAAATGCTGAAAATCAGAATGCTAAATCTAAATAATTTTATCGAGTGAACTATCAAAGAAAATAAAATACAAAAAGGGGCCCTGTGCTCCATTGGGAGATGATGGTAAGAGAGATTTTATCTGTACGTATTCAGGAATTACGGGATTTCGATCATGAGATAACGGGATCATGAATAATGGATAATTGGATTTCGATCATGGACTCTTAATGGACTACTATTTACAATGTTTTCAGGATGTGGTTACGTCAGTTAAATAAAGTCTCATGCTATGGCTTTTGTTACTTTCCATCTACTATAGAAAAGTATAACCAATTGAAATCATGAGAAGATATAACTCTTTTTAATTGGTATTGATTTATTATAACAAAACCAAATTATAATTACACGATATTAAGCTTTTGTGTGTTAGTTTTTCTAGAGATAAAAGATAGAAGTTAAAGACAAAAAATAGAATAAGATAACGTTCAAAAAGAAAAGTTTAATGTTATTCACTGAAAATACTTCATAACAGAATATTTTTCAGAAGCTGGTATTGCTTTAGTTTGACTCATGATTCGAAGCAAAGGGTCGACTCTTTAATACAATAAAAAACATTAACAACAACATTGAGAAAATTAATTATAGCACCAAACCACATATATTGTAGATTGTTTTACTAAGAAACTCAGATAAAAGATATAAACTGCACTTATACATTATACTGTACTTAAGTATGTTAAACATTTGTTAAACCACTTCAAGGGAATTATACGTATATATAAAGAACACTTCTCGATAAACGCAACTTGAAGGCGAGATCGCAAGTGTAAATTATGAGTATGTGGGGTTCGCAAATAAATTGAAATTGTAGCTCAGATTGAAAGCTTGGTTTATGTTCAAGTAACAAAAAAAAATATATAGAATGTATGAGATGCCATGAATGTGTGACCATTGTGCATTTTGGGATACTAAAAGAATATACAACACACAACACAATTTACTTTGTAGCTGCTAAAATTGCGCTCTTTGTTGTTATTTTTTGCTGGATGGAATTCTGTTAGGGGAATGAATTTTTTATCACTCAATTTAAGCACGAAAAACGTATCATGAGATCAAAAAAAAAAAATTTAAGTGATTATTTCTAAAGCAATGAATTTTTATGCGGGTGTTTGTGTGATAATTGAAAATATAAAAAAAAAAATTTACTTTGGTGAAAAAAATATATATCAGATACACAAGTGATAAATCCGAAAAACAAAAACTAATAAAAAAAAACGTTAAAAATATTTTTAAGTTATAAAAGCCTATTTATTTTATGCATTTTCTCAGATGATTTAGTTTGGAAATAGCAACTTCCTTATAGTGCAGAATGATAAGCAACATATGTAAATGTTTTATATGAAATTAAAGATAGACAAATTGTAAACAAATTTTTTTAGCCTAAATAAGATTTCTATTTACACATTTTGGTTTTGATTAATGCATTTTTAGAAGTTGCGTAAAGTTTTTATTGACGTTTTATAAACAGTGTTTCATCGACTGCGGTTTACTTTAGACATATACGATTGCAATTGAAAACACAAAATTGAATTATTTTTAGTCATTAATTATTCATGTTCTATGAAATAAAAGAATTATAAACTATTGTTCAACAATATTTAAAAAAAATAAATAGTAGAGGATTTTTCTTTTAGTATAATATACTAAGAGGTTGTTCTTAATTTTTACTCTAATATCTATATATTTTTTCAAGTCGTTTAAACAAAATCAGATATAAACATTAATATCTTGTTGAATATTGTATATATCTTTTCTAATAATAATTTACCAAAAGTAAAGGACAGCAAAAAAAAACCACACTATAATACTTAATATCAATTAAAACACGTCTAAGGAATGAATTATCAAAAATTTGTAGTCAGCTTTTCATAAAATTACAATGACCAAATACCTATTTTAGTTATTAGGAATATACAGGGGATATCTATAAACTTAACATTTATCAAAATGAATTTCTCTAAACCTTAAATTATAGTACATATATGAAGAAAAAAGTATTGAGAATTGAGGTTTGAGGAAAATGCTGGGGTAGTATACCACGTACCACCCTCAATCATCTTCATTCTTTACACATATTTGTTATTATGATTAGCTAAAAAGCAAGAGTAGACTTTATGATCTTAAAATTAACGGTTGTAAGCTAGCCCTATTAAAATAAAGGGTCAGAACCTGAAAAGGTTTATAATAAAGGGAAAATGATGTAAATGTCATCAAAGTTTAATTTTATTTGAATCTATAGTTATCATACAAAGGCTAAGAACTGTTTTTAAGCATATGCGAAATGAGCAATAATATGTAGCAAAATTTGTAACCAAAAGAAATATTAAAGAATATAATTTGATAAGATAAGAATATGATAAGATAAGAATATGTTAAGATAAGAATATGATAAGATAAGAATATAATAAGATACTTTAAATCGCAGTGTATATTTTTGGGCCGCTTAGTACAAAAGCTAGCCGGGTTGGCAATTGTGGGAATTGAAAAACAACATGCAAAAAAATGATAATAATTCGATGGACTTTTTAGTCGACTTAAAAAGTATAGAAACACAGAATTGGACAAGAGGGGCGGAGATAGAGAGCGATAAAGAAACATGGTCACTAAATCTCTGTTACACTTCGGACTAGTATGCTAAAAATGAGGATGAAGTATTCAAAAAATGAACATAAATTATTTAGTGCCATTTATCTTATACTTATAATGGATTCATAAATAATAAAAAAAAGCATAAATAACTGATAAATAACTTATAAATAAATATAAATAAATAAATCTTATTTCTATAACCACATCAGTGCTTAGGCACAGAATTAAGTAAAGAGAACATCTTGGCTTATCTTTGCATTAATAATTTTACAAATGTGTATATATATTGAATGTATATTTTTATGCATTTTTTTTTTAAATAACAGATATAAAAGAAAACTGACACAAACAAATTATTAATACAAAAAAAGTAGCAAATCTTTCCTAAGAATAAAAATTAGATCAAACTGGGCGCCAAAAAACATTACAATAAATTGTCATTTTTTTCTGTAAATTTGCATATATGTCCTAATTACTAAATTTATATCTACAGCAATCTACATACAACATAGTCCAAGCATAAATAAGTAAGATAGACATAATCTGATACTATTTTTAAAGTTGGAAAACATAAAGTAGAACGCACTACTCATACGATTTAATAATTTATACGTTTCATTTACATTAGAAATAAAGTATAAAAAATATAAAGCTGGCAATTAAAGCAAGACAAGTCAATTTTTAAGTAATAATTATTACATTTATGATATATAAAAAATACATAATATATGTATATATAAAATATACAAAATATATTATAAGCGTTTATACATGGATGTTTTTTTTTATACAATATTAATGAAACACATCAATAATAAAGTAAGAAAATAAATTTTTTCTAATGTTTTTTGTCGAATGTGACGCGTCTTATGACTAAAAGAAACTATTATAAGGGTTCGAACAGTAATTAAGAAACAACAACAAAAATGTTAATTAATTTATTGATATTTGGCTGTTCATACAATACTGTTTTGAGTATTGCCAAGCACTCATCATCAGTGATCTTAGGAATTACGAATTTTTTTTTAAGGAAACTTTTTATAGTCAGTTTATAGTCAGTACATAATTTGTTCGACTGCAAGTACCAGGCTTAAAACTCTTGCCTTTCAAATTAGAAACGATAGCTAATCATTTTTTTCCACAAGCCTGGTTTCCTGTACAGCCTTTTCTTACTTAGAATGCTGAAAGCGAATTGTTTTAATTGTGTAAATTTAAAATGTTGATCTATACGACATTGCTGAACAAACAATATTTTCTTTATATTATTTTCCAAATATTTACGTTCAATTAAAACTTCAAACCAACTCCAACTACTTTCAAGAGATGTAATTGATGTGGACAACAAAAATATTAAATATAATAAAATCAATTTTAGGTTTATATGATTTGATTTTTAAAGTCAGTTATGACAAAAGAACCTATGTTCTTATTTGAAACTATTATTTTGTTAGAGAGGTTTTATGAACAGTAAATAAATTTTTGTTGTTGTAATTTACTAATGATTATATGATGTAATATTTAAAATATTGTTTTTAAATAATTTATTAAAATTATGCAAAGTTTTTAAAAGAGTTTGATAAAAACTAAACAAAATAATTGCTCAAAATACATAAATTCAAGTAAAAAATAAAAACATATTAATTTTCTATGTACCGCAATTTCAATTTAAATTTAAATTATGAGTTCATTTAAAGATAATAAATTAAGATTAAATAAGACAAATGCAGGAAAATATTTAAAACAAAAACATACGATTTAAATGACAAGAAAAAAAATAGTGAATACGAAAAAATAAGAAAATAAAAAACAAAAATATAAAAAGAAATATGCTGTTAAGTAATACAATATAAACAATAAAATTAATATTTAAAGATGAGAAATGCCACCAAATAAAATTTGGAAATTTGTCAAAATACAGTAGACATTCACAAACTAGAACCAATTTTGTTTTTAGAAATATTGTAAGTTTCGTACATTTTTTCTTATACAAAATATTCCTTCCACAATAGCAAAAATAACGATTTTGGTGATTCCCCGTTTACAGTTTTATTGTACTGATTAATAACATACGTGCAAAAAACTAGAAAAAAAACCAATTTGACCAATTTGTGAGAGTCCACTGTATTGGAAAAAAATCTTTGTCTAAATAGCGGATATAAAAGACAAAAACAAAAATATTTTTTTGAGTTTAAAAATGTTTTTGTTTCATTTGTTTAAGTTTTTATTTTTCAGAATTTATGCTTAAATTTCATTGAAGGTATTTTTAACTTACATTGAACGGCGCAAATCTTAAAACTTTTGGCATGGCTTTTGTATGTTGATGGAACATATTAATTTTATTTTTTTAAATTTTTTTATTTTTTTTAATATAAATAATATTAAAAATATTTAATTAGCATATTTAAAGCATTAATAGCACTAATCAATTTTTAATTATAACACTCCCAATTGTTAATATCACTTTTTCATTTTGTGTTCTTAATTTAAGTTTATTTTTAAATCTATTTTTTTAATTATTTATCCCATCAAAAAAAAAATTTATTTAAATATATCTTTGGTTTTATATGCGTTCCACAATATGAAACCGCATGAACGATGCAAACAGGAAGACTAAATCATAATACAACAGCAAGCGACCGTTAAAGTCCACAGCATGAAAAAAGGCACATCAATGATCAATTAATGATGGCGTAGTGTGGGGAAGCAATGTGTGTCGTTTTATAAACATCATATTTTGTTTTTGTTTTGGTTTCATGAGAATGAAAAAAAAATAGAAATAAAAAAATTATAACAAAATGAAATGAACCAAGGCACACGACTTTATATATAAACGCTCACATAAAAGTTCTTCATAGAAAGTAAAATTATTTTATATGACGAACGATAGTTTATTTTGAAAAAAATTCAATTAGCTTTTCACCACACATGAATATTCACCAAAAATTGTTAATTTAATTTTTTTTTAAAATTTTAAATAGAAACTCACCACACAAGCGGCTCGCATCTGTGTTATTTGCATTTCGAGATCACGTATGCGTTTAATGGCAGCTTCTTCTACACGTGAATGTTTGGAGAGTTTGTCTGCGATGCGTTGTACACCTTCCATAGTGAGTGAATGTTGACGTGGTGATGGATGAACTGGAGATAATTGCGGTGGGGATACCATTGTAGTGGGTAATGATGCTGCACGTGCACCATGTACAGACACATCTTCAGTCACGCTGATACTGCAAGAGTTTAATGAATCTGTATTATGTAGCGACTCCAATGTTTTAGTTTTATTGTCAAGAGTGGTTTCAATATCGCGTAGCTGTCAAAAATAAATATTAAATTGAAATAAAAATAAAGTAGAAGAATTTTACATATTTTTTTATAATAATTTAGGAAGAAGAAAATTTTAAATAAGACAATAAATAGTAAATAAATAAAATAAATTATTAGATTATTATTATAATTCGAATATCAAAGCGTTGTTTTCGACAAAAAAAAAGAAAAATAATTAACTTTGAAATAAATAAATAATATTTTAATAAATTATAAAAATTATAAAATAATTATTTCACGGGCTAATTGGCCAGTTTTTAAATAATGATATTTAAAAAAAAAAAAAAATTAATTTTTATTATTTAGTTTTATAAGATTTTTATTGTACCCGATATAGATTATAGTCGAAATATTGGACAATAAAAATCTTATAAAACTAAATAATAAATTTTATTTTTTTTTTTAAAAAAATATCATTATTTAATAACTGACCAATTAGCCCGTGAAATAATTATTTTTAAAAAAAATTTTCTTTTGGTCATTAAAACATTTAATTA